TAAAGCCAATACAGCTCTCGTAGCGCCTGATAGGTAGGCAACATCTTACCTGCAGTGCGCGCGTGTACTGCGGGTTGGCCCACCCCGAGTCTCGCAGGCGCCGAGCTCGCGTAATGTGTCGAATAACTTTGAGAGAAAAGGGACGTACTCTCTGGGCGATCCCTGACTTAGAGGCAGGTGCGAAGCTCGAGAAAGTTTATCTTCCTATTTTTCTTCCTCCGTTAGAAAACATAAGGGAGGGGTCGCACTCCTACTCGTTTCGGCCGGCGGGTGAGATCAAGTGGGGTATGACGGGACGAGAGGCGCACTTACTAGGAACCACGATGAGGCTGTCAGTTCACAATATCAGATCACACGCGTTACGACATGATACTGTTATTGCCGAAAAAGAGAATGGCGGTTGGGTCGACAGGAAAGTGAACAACCAACCGCGGTTTTTCATTTTATCAAACAGCAAATGAAATGGTGGAGGCGAGTCGTCCCACTCCACATGTCAAGGGCAATTTTTGTAACTAGCGCCGGATTTCTGTGTGCATAATTGAGTTCAGAAACAATATTTTAACTTCCTATAGTCACTAAATGTTGGCTGCTAGTTACAATATTGTATATCTGAGCGAATTATGCTCACATAAGTCCGGTGTTAGTTACAGAAATTGTCCCTAGAGATTCAGAGTGGTAAAGACGACTGTATGGACAGCCGTAGTAAGTCCGCAAAGCCGAGACAATCGCCAGCTGATCAGACGAAATGAATGTGCACATTGCATGTGCACGGATGAGGAAGCGTGACTGCACCCGCAGCAGCAGCCTTGGGCCGCCGGCCGCGAGGGGCGGCGATATCACCACCGCGCGGGCGTCGTGCACCCCCAGCGCGTTTGAATCACGTAAGACAAGTAGTTGTAGTATTTTTCCAATCACTTTTGAAAGCTGCTTATTATTTTCCCCTGGCTTACACGAGCGCGAAGCACCAGAGAGATATGCGAAAAAACTACCTCAAGGACGACGGAGTTCGTTGCACCGCTGGCTGCGGCCTGCGGCCGGCCAGGCCTGCGGTGATGGCGGCGCCGCGGTCACGTTCGCGGGGGCGCCGGCCGCGGGCCTAGAGAGCCTGCTAGAGTTCGGGCCGTGCGCGTCAGAGCAGTAATCGGTGGCAGGGCCCCGGCAGGGCCCCGGCAGGGGTCGAGTAGTACTGATACCCGAAACTGCAAGTGCGACTGACCGGGATGAAGGTCAGCGCTGATTTGCGAGATTGCACAATAATCGCGCGAGGCGGAGGCACCTCCCGCCGCGGTGAGCGCGGATAAGACTACATTACGTTTCTCGGACATAAAGCCTTTTGAGAGTGAAGTGCGCAGAGGCAAGGACCTCCGCGGCCTTGGCGGGTCCTCCACTGACGCACACCTGTGGGGCACTGCGCCGTTGACCGATATAAAAGTGCTCTCATCCGGTGGCCGCGCGCCGCCCGCCGACTCGCCCGGTGACAGCCCATCACAAGCGCCATATGCGTGGCCGATGATTGTCCATTTTGCCCATTTTTAAGGAACCGCCGTGATTTGCCCGCCTGGTGATAACGCCCAGCCCCGCCGTTGGCGAGCGGCCGCGGCGTGGCGGGGCGCGGGGCTCGGCCCACCAATCTGCGCTCGCGGTAACTCGAGCGGCGCGCGGCCGGTGGGCGGCGCTAAGGGCGCCTCCGGCTCCGGCCCGGGACAGGGAGGATATCCAAGTTAGCGAAATGCGATGCGTTTCTCGACGCGTCCGAGTGGTTGTTAAAAACCTTACCGAGGGGCGAGTCAATTTTCTTTCAACGTTGTACAAAAGATTCCCAATAATGATTGCCGTTTTCTCTCAATTCTTCGAATGGTTTCTACAAGCAGAAAACGCTTGTTTTGACTTATTCTTGTTGGATGTTGGCGCTCCCCGGTCATTTTCTGAGATTTATACATTGCTTTGCTAACCCCTCGGGCTTCACAAGGGCATTGCTCAAAATTTCCTTAGCACCCCTGCAAAGGTGCGACTTTGCATCTTTTTTTCCCAGTGTCATGCGTGTGGTTTGAACAAACTATAATCTTTGATACCAAATTGATCACTGCAATATGAATTAAAAGTAAAGATGAATCAAAGTAAACACGATTTTTGAAACACCATCACTTCACATTTAAGCGACTGAATATTGCTGTCCTCACATTCGTTTAAACGAGACAAAGCTACGTATGCCACAGCTATATAGCCTCTGAGTGTTAAGCGAGGCAAATGTAAGTTTTTTCCCGCAAAAGAAAAAAAAAAAGAAAAACGGGGGGGGCTATGCTTTCTGGTAGAGAAGACAGTCTTGGGCACGATCAAAAGTGTTTTATAGATCCACCTGTGGAATTCTTCTACTTTTGCCGAAAATTGTCTTTTTTTTAGAAGACGAGTAAAATACCAAAAGAGCTGTGGGTTTTGGTCTTAATTTCTTTTTCCTGCGATTTATTTTCGTACTTGTAGCGACCGCTTTAAAAAACAATAAACTTAAGGCCAGGGAAAGACGACCGCGTCTCGGCAGTGAAAAGCGGCTTGTCAGAAATTAAATTTGTCGAACTTGCGGTCGGTTTGTGAAGTCGCAGTCCGTGCGCTGGTTCTCGCCTCGCCCCGTCGGCCGGCTCTGGGCCGAGAGGAGCCCCCGCAGGGTAGCCCGCCCGCCCCGCAGCGGCGCACTGCACCCCAGTGGCCTGCCTACCTCCCAGGCGGTCGGCCCGACCCTGCTAGGGTGCAGCGCAGCCGCAACGCAGCGCAGAGCGAACCATATCGGCTGTGCGACTCGCGACGCGCGTATGTACGGCCTGGCGTTTCCGGAATGACACTCCCTTGTTTGCAAGGCCTTCATAAGACACAATTTTGGATAATAGGATGTTTTCTCTCTCAGTAGGAAGAGATGCGATCGTAATATTATACGATTGTCCAGCAAGGGGTGGGATCCAAACCTGTCCAAAATGTGTCCCCGAGTTTTATGGTCATAGCCCCTTATTAACAAAACGAATAAAACCCACACAATTGCGCTACAGCCTATGGAAGAGTTGTCCGCCCCCCGCTGCTACATGGCGCATATACTCCGTCCCCTAACGCTTTATCACGGTGCGCTTTATGGTACAGAGCAGCTCACTACCCCCGTGGTTTGACATTCGACACACACGGTGACATCAAAGTGATCCTGAGTGATCGCACATCAGTGCTTTCATGTCTGCAAGGTACGCACACGCACCGCAAACAGTGAGACTGCGTTTGAAAAGCGTCCATATTATATTGTTGGATGAAATTCACCCTCTCTCTGTCACTACGGCCTCGTCGACCGTTCCGAAATCGTGGAAAGGTGGTGGAAAAGGTGGGTGGGACCAACCAACGGTTGGGGTCCCAGAAACGCCAGGTAGAACAAACGCGAGTCGTGCGGGTGCAGCAAGCCACCACTGCACTTCGCGGTCCTGGAGCCGGGGCCCGGGGGCTACCGAGGGTACCCCCGGCCTCTCCTCGCGCACGCCGAGAACAAGTGCCTCGCTCCGCGGCCGCCACTGAGGCCGCGCAGCGTGCGCCCCGCCCCGACGCGGTCCTGGCCCCGCTGCCGCCGCCGGGCGGGGCGGGGCGGGGCGGCCTGGGCCCCACCCGGGGCGGACCAAGCCTGTTGTGGCGCGGCGTGGCGCGGCGGTCTCGACAGTGTCCACATGGTGACACGGCACAGACCACAGCGGGCGGCGCACACACAGTCCCTCGCGCACCTCCGCACCAGCAGCCCAGCCTAGCCGGAGCGGGCGGGACCGCGCACGGCCACCACCAGCACACACCGCCAAGACGCCGTCGGCGACGGACGCCACCACCGCAACACCACCTCCGCCCCGGCCCTGCCCGGCCCGCTGGCTATCGTCGCCCCGGCCCGCGACCAGCCCGCGACATTGTTCCTCTGTTCACTCAGTTTGGCGGGGCGGCGCAGCGCAGTCCGGTTCGTCCCGCGAGCGGAGCAGAGCGTAGCCCAGAGACAGACAGAGAATAAGAGAATCGCGCACACCTGCACGGCAGTGCACGGCCCAGGACGCCGCTGGTGAGTAAGCTGCGCGAGCCGCATGAAATAAAACGAGAAAGATGTCGGGGTGTCTTTGCGGTGGTCTCGGCCAAGGCGACGATTAAGGGATCGCAATCGCGGCACGGCACACACAAAAAAAGTGCTGCCGGGAATATCGAGTCCGGCCAGTTGATGTATGTCGCCGAACTGATACGGCTATGCCGAAAAAATCCCATATGCTCGATATCGCGACACACACTTTTTGTGAACCTACCAAGTACCAAGTCGCTCTTTTAAAAAAAATGAAGGTCGTAGAAAAGACCAAAGGGGGAAGAAAACAGACAAAGACCCATCATTAGTTGTTTAATGCACGCGTTTGACACAAAGGTGAAATCAATGAGATGACATACAGAAAATCAGTGCAAAGTTTCCGTGATATTGCGACACAGCCGTTGAAGGGGAAAATTTGCATTGGGATTTCGGGACAAAGTGCAACACACAATAGTGCAGAAGTAGGCAGAAGTGTATGGCCCCTCGCTAGCAATTGCCATTCTATCACGATGCGGCATATCGCAATAATCTCACTGTTTACTGGGGCGCTGCTGAATCCACGTGAAGAAATCTTGTGCTTCCCCGTTCATCTCTTTCTCTATCTCACTTGTTCTCTCCTTTCTCTCCTCTTTCGCTTTCTCTCTCTCTCTTTCTCCCCCGCATTGTGACGTCGCGGTACTTAGAGTACTTTGTCCGCAGCTGTG